TTATATATATATATATATATATATATATATATATATATATGTCGTACCTAGTAGCCAGAACTCACTTCTCAGCCTACTATGCAAGGCCCGATTTGCCTAATAAGCCAAGTTTTACTGAATTAATATATTTTCTCTAATTTTTGTTCTTATGAAATGATAAAGCTACCCATTTCATTATGTATGAGGTCAATTTTTTTTATTGGTGTTAAAATTAACGTAGATATATGACCGAACCTAACCAACCCTACCTAACCTAACCTAACCTATCTTTATAGGTTAGGTTAGGTTAGGTAGCCGAAAACGTTAGGTTAGGTTAGGTAGGTTAGGTAGACGAAAAAACATTAATTCATGAAAACTAGGCTTATTAGGCAAATCGGGCCTTGCATAGTAGGCTGAGAAGTGAGTTCTGGCTACTAGGTACGACATATATATATATATATATATATATATATATATATATATATATATATATATATATATATATAACAATGATCATAAAAACCTGACCACAAAAAAGGGCGAGGGAGTGGAAACATAAGGAAGAGGGTAACTGCAGAAGGCCTATTGGCCCATACGAGGCCCCTATTAATATCCATAACTGGAAGATATATAAAAGTGTAATACGGGTTATATGGATGCTATATTGTTTTGACGTGCTATATTGAGGCTTATATGGGGATCCAACTTGTACATACCGGGGCTCACATTAAGGCTGTTGTTACAATGTTTGATCAGAGCAGACTCGATCACATTTCGTTCAACAAAACCCTTACTTTTAACAATACATTTTGCCCCTGTGAAGTCGATAGAATGATCGCATAAACTGGAATGCAACTACAATACACTGGAGTGCTGGGGTGTACGAATAGCATATGAATGTTGTTTTAAACGCGAGGAAAGAGATTTGCCAGTCTGACCGGTGCAAACACATGCACACTCATTACAAGCGATGGAGTACACACAACCTGCTTGCGTGTACAAGCAGGTTGTTGTGTGTCCTCCAACATGAAACATTTGCCTTCCCCGTTATCAATACGGTTGAATACGGTGGAATACGGTTGAATACGGTGGAATACGGTTGAATACGGTGGAATACGGTGGAATACGGTGGAATACGGTTATACTGTCATAAACGTGTGACCTGAGGGCCTGAGGGGTGTAACTCCAATGTCTTGTAATGCCCCGAGAAGCTTTATGTCCTCTCCCAGTGTAAACAGTGGTGTACCCCACGTGACTATTCCAAGCTTTTATTTTGTACTCCATTATTATATTTATAAACACGTTGAAGTTGAACAGCTTATAACCATTAATCTACCGCGAAGGGTGAGTGATCACTGGGAGAATAGAAGGGGTTGATGATTGAAAGGGAGAGGGGAGAGGGGTTTTAAGAAGAGGGATGGATGAATAAGTGTAGGAAAAACACACAGCAGATGAGTTAAAAGTACACAAGATAGATGTAAGGATAGACAGAGGGGAGAGGTTGAGGAGACACATTCCCCTCGTGCAGTTGATCTTAAGTTGAAGGGCTGGCGAAGGAGTGATTGATGAGGACCGTCAGTTGAAGGAACTCGTAGGTCCTCGGGCAGATGTATGGAATTAAGGAGATCAGGTAATTGTCATTCTCATTCTCTCTCTCTCCCTATCCCCCCCCCCCTCTCCTCTCTCTCTCTCTCTCTCTCTCTCTCTCTCTCTCTCTCTCTCTCTCTCTCTCTCTCTCTCTCTCACTCACTCCCCAACAGCTAAGGACAGGCGTCTTTGTGACACCGTCTCTGAGCTGACAGGCGTGGTCAGCACTTAACAAGTTTTCTTACATTTATCGCCGCTAAGATGACTTCAAATATCGTTGATTGGACGACTTCCCTTTTCATTGTCTTGGAGTTTTGTGCCGTCTCCTCCCTCGGTCTGTGCCTTCTTCCTCTCCTCATTAAGGTTGTCTAGTTGCCAAGGGCCTGGTTCTATGAAGGACCTCTGGGCAGATCCTGGGAGTTGATCCGTGGCTGCTGGCCAGGACCTGGCCTTGTTCCTTGCCATCTGGGCAGATCCTGGGGTTGGTTCTTGGCATCTGGGCAGATCCTGGGGTTGGTTCTTGGCATCTGGGCAGATCCTGGGGTTGGTTCTTGGCATCTGGGCAGATCCTGGGGTTGGTTCTTGGCATCTGGGCAGATCCTGGGGTTGGTTCTTGGCATCTGGGCAGATCCTGGGGTTGGTTCATGGCATCTGGGCAGATCCTGGGGTTGGTTCTTGGCATCTGGGCAAATGTTGGAGTTGATGCTTGTGATCCCTGATTGTCCAGGTGGATGGTTCCCATTCTTAACTCTGTTGGTGTTCCTCTCGCAAACCACGAAACACGTGGAAGAGGAACGATACAACTTAGATGCCTTCACAACCTTTGGATTTCACTTCCTGTTTGGGGATTAGTGTGATAGAATCTTGTATTTAATACGTATTATTTTCTGGTGTGTGTGTACTCACCTAATTGTGCTTGCGGGGGTTGAGCTTTGGCTCTTTGGTCCGATCCTGGACCACACAGCAACAGGTGTGCTGTGTGTGTGTGTGTGTGTGTGTGTGTGTGTGTGTGTGTGTGTGTGTGTGTGTGTGTGTGTGTGTGTGTGTGTGTGTGTGTGTGAAGACCCTGACACTCACACATAGTGTCAGCAAGGCGGACAGCCTGCCGGGCATCATAACTCACACTGTATTTCTCATTTTTTAACTTTTTCCCTTCGCCTGTGCCTCTTCATCCTCATTACTAAAAAAAAAGAGGAAAAAGCACGTTTGTATGTGCGTGCGTGCTTGCTTGCTTGTATCGCTTATTTAGTACCACTATCCCTATCCTTAAGTGACTTATCATATATAGTCTTGAAAGGTAGTGCTTACATTCTCAACCTTGAATACTTCTCGATATCTTCCACACAGTGATCATATTCCCCATTGTTCTTCTAGTTTTCTGGTTTTGTTAACTTGTTGAACCAGGAAACTAGATTTATCTTATTTCTAGCACCTTTCCATATTCTCAGACGTCTCAGTTCTTCGTGTTTAATGCTTCAAGAAGTGTGGCCACTTTGTAGATGTAGCAAACTCAGTTCATGGACTTACTTTTTACGTATAAATACGAAAGTGTGCGCCTGTGTGTGTGTCCATTTTCTGTGATGTAGCCGAGAGCGCCGGCACGGCTGGCGCGCAAGTGAGGCCCGGATTCGAGTCCGTGAGTCCCATGTGTTGAGATATTAGGTGTCGTGTACCCAAGCGTTGTGTGCGCTACACAGGTTTTCCATGTGTCATTATGACGGGCATGTATTACATGTGTCACCATATATCACCATAGTAACAGGCGTGTGTCACCATAACGAGTGTATATAGTCACTATTGTAACAGTTATAGTGAAGTGCCACTATACCACATGACTCACAGCAACAGGTGAGTGTCCGTTGAGGCCCCACAGCAACAGGTGAGTGTCCGTTGAAGGCTCCACAGCAACAGGTGAGTGTCCGTTGAAGGCCCCACAGCAACAGGTGTCTGTTGAGGCGCCACAGCAACAGGTGACAGTCTGTTGAGTGGTCCCACAGCAACAGGTGACAGTCTGTTGAGTGGTCCCACAGCAACAGGTGACAGTCTGTTGAGTGGCCCCACAGCAACAGGTGAGTGTCCGTTGAGGCCCCACAGCAACAGGTGAGTGTCCGTTGAGGCCCCACAGCAGGAGGTGAGTGTCCGTTGAGGCCCCACAGCAACAGGTGAGTGTCCGTTGACGCCCCACAGCATCAGGTACTCACCTATGTATGAGATATGATCTCCCTTGAGACACAACAGCAAGGGACACTCAGCGTGGCGCCACAGCAACAGGTGAGTGTCCGTTAAAGGCCCCACAGCATCAGGTACTCACCTATGTATGAGATATGATCTCCCTTGAGACACCACAGCAAGAGACACTCAGCGAGGCGCCACAGCAACAGGTATATGAGCCCGTTGAGGCGCCACAGCAACAAATGTGTTCCTCGAGGCACCACAGCAACAGGTGGGGGGGGGGGGGTCACTAAAGGCACTCTAGGAAAGTCATACAATGTTTACAAAACAATTGACACGTGGTGAGCGGGCCACGTGTCACCCAAGCCTGGTCCGCTCACCATTGGTAAGTGCGGGTTGCCTGAGAATACCTATTCCAAGGGGTAACTACCCCCCCCCCCTTGTACCTCACGGCAATATATATAACAAGTCTTAACTACGATACCCAATCTGTCTTTGACTATAATTTCAAGGTTTCTCCAGATTTCGAGAGTAGATTAATGTTTAAGATTATCTACATTTATGTACATATCAAACTTGCTTTTGAAATGATTGAATGTAGAGTGTACAATGCTGGTAGATAGGCTCTAGCGCCTTCTTTGTAGTCATCAAATAGCATCTGCTCAGTCACCAATAACTCTTTATTAGTAATAGTGGTTAATGATGACTCTTTTGCATTTAACACAATTTTATTAGCACCTAATGTGGCCTCTAGCAGACACCATCTGCTAGAGGTGTCTAGAGATGCTAGAGAACTTGTCTGAGAGTTTAAATCTGTCTTAGCTGTTTAAATATGCCACTAATTAATAATTCAATAACACACATTTCCTAATACAGTAACCTAATTTAAGATACATAAAAATAATCAGGGCCTAACTATATTAGGGTCAGATTAGTTGGATCACTTTCAGATGAGCTTCAGTGATATATTAGGCAAGGAACTCCGTGACACAAGAGGTGTGTATGTGTGTGTGTTCCTCAGGAACTACAAGAACAGGTAAGCTCACTGATATCAGTAATAAAATGTGTATCACTAATGACCATTACAGGTGCAGTGTGTCTGCAGGTGTTTGCAGGTAACAGGTGTGTATAACTGGCTATGTGTATCACCAGTGATCATGTGTGTGTGTGTCGCTGGTGATGACAAGAAGCGGAGTATCACAGGTGTGTATGAACGGGTGTGGCAGAGGTGATAATAACAGGTGTGTGTGGTGTGTCCACAGGTGGAGTGCAAGAAGGCCCAGCCCAAGGAGGTGATGCTGCCGACCAGTGTGGGCCGCGGACGGGGCGGCGGTCGAGGCGGCTATGGTGAGTTGGTGATGGTGTCGCCCGTGCCGCCCCTCGCCACCTACCGCTACGCGCCCTACTCCCTACCTGCTGCCGCAGCTGCCGCAGCCGCATCTAGCCAGATGCCGCTGACCAGCCTGCCACAGGTCACCCATGCGTCCCTGGGAGGACTGGCTTCGGTTAGCGCAGCGGCGGCGGCGGCAGCTGCGGCCAGCGGCATGGTGTCCGGCCACCTGGCTACAGGCCTACCTGGCTACGGCGCCATGTATGGGTTGGACGCGGGCGTGGGCGTGGGCGCCGCCAACGCCATGGACATGAGCGGCTGCAAGCGAGTGGCGTTCACCACGCAACAGGCTGCCACCAACACCACTAACTCGCTGGGTTACTCCGTGTCCAACCTTCTGGGCATGCAAGGCCTCACCGTGCCCACCTACCCCATCCCCGTGGGCCTGTGAACGCCCACGCCCACGCCCTCCCGCGCCTGGGCCCCGGGGCGTCGTGGACCGTGGGAGTAGGCGCAGCAGCAGCAGCAGCAGCAGCAGAAGCAGCAGCAGCACCACCAGCAGCCGCCGCTGGCCACGGGGCCCCCCAGCAATAATAATCATCAGTGGGGCGGACGAGCTGGCTGGTGGCTGGCCGGGCTCCGGCCTGGCTAGTGCCGGCCAGGCCGAATCGCTTCCGGAATGTAGCGTTTAGCCTACCATAGCTGCCGAGCCAAGCTTGCGTGCGACACAAACTTTACTTGGGTGGTGACCGCGTGGCCCTGCGTGTTCCCCCGAGGGGGCGGGCACCTGGGGCAGCGGGGCATCATTACTATGACTCAGGCGGGGCTGGGACGGTCAAGACCTTCACTTTGTCTAGGTGTGACCTGTGGAGGGGCTGGCGGTGACCTTCCCCCTCAGGGGGCCGGCGTTGACCTCCTCTCAGGGACTGGTGGTGACCTCCCCTCGCTAGCGCTGCCTGACAGGCCAAAGATTACACCAAATAACGTGCTGGCTGCCCTCGAGGCCACTGCCCGTACACAAGCTAACGTTACCCCTTAGTGTTGTCACATCACTATCTTATTTTCTAGTCACCGCTTATCACCCCCCCTCCCTTTTTTTATTTTATTTTCCTTTGCTAGTCTTTCATAATTAACATGAGTATTGAGTAGTTTTCAGTACTAACCAAGTAAAGTTTGGATTGCGCTCAAATTGGTTCTCTTGGAGAGGAATCTGTGTACAGCGGCCAACGGGCTCCCGTCGGGAGGACCTTGACCCGCGGGCCAAGGTCCTCCTGGCCGGTTATTGCATGACATGGTTCCAGGCAGTGTCACGTTACCTTATATGGGAAGGCTGGATGGTTTTTAATTATTTTTTCCTGAACGGTCGATGCTATGTGTGGTCCCACTACCCGTCCGGGTAGGGATGTGTTAGGGCTTTATCTGTATTAGTTTGTGCAAGTAATAATGACCGCATATATTATTCAATGATTTCCAATATTATCATTCACTTCTTTCCAATGTCTATGCAAATGAGAGATTAAATATTCACTTCAATGTCAAAGCTTAGATGTCTTGTCTTCCCTTTGTTGTCAAGTTCAGTGGTGAAGTTCTTGTGAAGTACATCTATAAGTGATAAGGAACATTGCTGCTATAATAATGGAAGTGATAACTGATGTATTGATGTATATAGGTCATAGATCTGTTCTCCTTTCCTGCCCTGTGCGTGGTAATCTGCAGACAGCGTGTTCTTATGTGGCACCCGTTGCTCTCTTCACTTTCATCACTTGTTATGGCCCTTTGCTGGAATTTGGCACTGTGGGGGGTGTATGGTGATGGTGCCACGAGATGCTGGCATTAAGGTGACGTACGGTCCTTTGATGGATTTTTGGCACTGGTGGCATACGGCCTTGTGGTGACATTTGGAATCTAACGTATGAAACAGTGGTTTATGGCTTTCTGGTGGCAAATGGCACTATGGTGCTGTGTGCCAGTGTAGTGTTATATGGTATTATGGTGTTGCATGGCACTTTGGCATCATATGTCCCACATTGTGATATATAACACTAGAGTGGTCTACGGCACTGGTGGCATATGGCACTCTGGACATGATACTCTGGCAAGCCATGTCACTCTGGTGACGTATTATGCTAGAGTGGAGTTCGACGCCTTGGCGGTATGTCACTCGCTTGTATGTTTCTATCGTGGCACTTGGCACTATGGATGCATATGACGGTGACCTCTGATACTCAAGTTACATGCGACACCAATGTCGATGATTGACAAAATGCTGATGTCTGCCACTGCATGGCACAATGACAATCACTGTGGCGGCTTCTGACACCGTGTACTTCACCTGCCAACTTGTATACACATTTCATCCTGTGGCACCGAGCCGACGCCTATCACAGTGTCGAATCCTAACTCAGTGTCAACTCTTGGCACTACAGAGACACAAGTGACGGGTGGCCCTGTGCCCTCTAGGCATGTTGGCACGCACATGAGCGGCAGTGACATCTACCACGCTGGCACGCACACTCATGTACCCGACCTTTGTCCGTGCCAGCCTGGATCATGTCACCTGCGCATTAAAAGTACTGCATTATACCACGTATTGACACGGGCGAGATACTTGCTTCTACCACGGTACTTATACAAATATAGGCCATGTATATACGTGGACCAAGTTTACTTACGTAGGCCACAGTACTTAAAATATTACAGGCCACGTACTTAAGAGGCCACAGTACCTACGTAGCCACTTATATGTCTTGCATAAAAAGGTTTGGATACCGGTATAGGAAAGTCGTATACTTTTAAAACTGCGTATAGTTAACCCCTTAATTGGTCGGTGTGAACAGCTGGGCCGGTAGTGTGAGGCTCCCACCAGCTGCCGTCGACCACCATAGGCGTTAATGTTGGTGATAGTTCACAGCTGTGTTTCTGGTGTTATTTTTTCTGTACGCTCACATTGTCTTCTATATGTTGTTGTCTTTTGATTTCTTTATTTATTATTTTGTGTTGCGCTTGGCTAAACCCGCGCCCCCTCTCCATAGTTGTAACACAGACCATAGATGGTTACGCTGTAGATTATAGCCTTCTATATATATATATATATATCTACTCAAACTTGTGGTACCTTAACTTTCATTCATTTTTTTATTTTTATTTTTTGGTTTCGATTTGAAGCCTATTTTTCCCTCGAGGTAGAATAGCAGGAAGTGGGACACAGCCACTCCCTTCACTATGTCACATGAGTATATATAACCCTCGAGAAGTATCTAGTTAGGAATTATAAAATATTGCAAGTGTCCTTTGAATCGTATAAACATTTTTATCGTAGTGTTTTAATATGAATTTGAGTATTATAAAAAGGTAGAATTTGCGTATAAATGCCTAAGGCTTCACTTCCGACAAGAGTTAAAGAATGAGTACATTGTTCTGGGCATTGAGCCTGAAGAGCAGATCAGTGTGTTAATAATGTTTCATCAGGGACAACCACTCAGGCAATTAATTTATGTATTTAGCGCACTTCAAGAGTATTTATACTTTATCCTGTTCATTAATCCATCAAATTCGCAATAGAAGCCGTGAAAAATCAGTCACGTTAAAGAAACCTTTTTGCTTTCTTAGATACAGTAATGTCTTCACACATTCTTTCACTTTTCTGGCGAGCGAGGCAATCCTAATGCAACCATACGATCAAACTCTCTAAATCAAAATCAAATTAGCATCCGAATCCAAAGGTTTTTTTTTTAAGATAGGAAAGAAACTGCCATCAAAACGTCTATGCAATGACTGGGTTTGTGGTGGTCATTTCGAGAGAGAGAGTCTGACTCATCGGCTCACTGATGGGGGTTGAAGCTGCTGAAATAATTCAAAAAATTAACTCATTTTAACGTGATCAATACCCCTTTGCCAGTTAAAAAAAAAGAATAAAAATGTAGATTAAATAAAAATGTAGATTAAAGAGTTCCCGGTATTTGTTCATTTCAAGTAGATACGGCAGAGGGGTCTTATGTGCACACTATCATCGCTAGATCAGATGTTTTATACTTTTATACAAACTAGGTATTAACCAAGCGTAGGGGAGCGTAGTGGCATCATGCAAAGCTTCTTTTCTGGTAGGTCAACAGCGGTAGCTCGTAGCCAGTACAGCTGCACAGCGCTGTACATGGTAGGCACCTATGAACTGAATGGTAGAGATCAGTAACTTCAAAATGATAGCCACCAGTGAAGTAAGATGGTAGCCACCAGTACATTAAAGGGTAGCAACCTCTAACTTAATAGTAGCAACTAATTACAAAAAACAAAAGAATGGTAGAAACCAATCCGTGTATAGTAGCAGCCAATCAGTATGTGGTAGCAACCTAATCAGTAGAGAAACTAATCAAATATGATCCTTAAAACGAAATAAATATATATATATATATTTTCTCCCCTTTTTTGCGATAGTGGTTTGAAATGGATATAACTAGGCTATAAATACCCAAGTGGATGGGGAGGAGGAGGAGGGATGGGATAGAGGGAGGGGGCGGGTAGGGAATGGGTGGTGTCAAACCGTTGGAATATATAGTATATCCAGTCCCCTCCCTCCCCCTTAATCCCCCCCATCTCCCCCCCTCCCTCCTCCATCAGTGGTGTGGCTATACGATTGCCATCGACACAGGATTTTCAACGGGCGATTTCCAACCGCAAACACTGAAGAGGGCGAGTCTTAGGGCACTGGACGTCAGCGCTCGCTTTAGTCAAAACACATGACAAGGGGGGAATTTAAGCGTTTGTTAAGCTTCGTGGAGACCCTCCCTCTCTTGTGATTGGAGGTTTGAGATGGACGTTGAACGACTAGCTTTCTGTCGATAGTGCGTCCGTATACATCGCACGGGCCTGGGGGTTAGGGGTTAGGGGTTTGGGGGGGGTGCAATTACCAGATATAACGAAGTGATTTTATCTAGCACCGTAGTAAGAGAAGATGTGTTCCTGCTCAATTGTTTCACAAGTCGGACGACACGTACCTTAACTATACCGGTTGATATGAACCAAAAAAATGGAGGGGAGGGAGGGAGGGAGTATAGGGGAAAATTCCACTTTTTTTTTTTTTTTTTTTTTTTTTTTTTTACTGGACATTTTAAGTAGTTTCTAGATACGTACGAGTGAGGGTGATCCATTCGAGTTCCTGTAGTCACTCACCCATATGAGTTCACATATCTTGTTAGGCCCATACGAAGAGTGCTTTAATATGCACCCATTTTGTAATGCAGTAGCTTGAGAGGACTGTCGCAATGGCTGACACGCAAGGGTCATAATAATAATAATAATAATAAAAAGCAATTAGAAAAAATATTAATATATATATATTAATATATATATATATATATATATATATATATATATATATATATATATATATATATATATATATATATATACAGTTTTTTACATTATTTTTCTTTTCTTTTAATTCTATTTTAGTCATTTACGTTGGTACGGTAAAAGGAATGGGAATGGTAGATGTTTAGAGAGAATTAAGACTAGTATAGCACTAGATACTAAGGATGATACAGCTAAAACAGCTCTTGTGGTTCAGATACCGAGGAAGGCATTAGAAATATAAAAAGAAAAAAAAAGAAAAAAAAATATAACATTGTTATAGACCACAAGCCCGTGCCTGCTATTATGAGGAATTAAAACTATCTCGTCTTTGTACGACATGGGTCCACTTGTATTCCCCTGCAGTTATACAGGAGAGGACTTAGCTGTGAATATCATTACTCATGTCTTGTACTTATGGAGTGGGGGCCCGGGCCTTCGGCATCTTAAGTAAAGAAAGCGTATAGGAGACAATGCACTTACAAGGCTTTTAATAAATGGCCTATGTGATTTTTTAGTACTTAATTGGTACCAAATGACAGGGTTTTGGTTATCTGAAAATTCCATTAAAGAGGCCTTTGAATCTTTAAGTAATGTCATGTGCCAATGATAGTCTCAACCATAGTTTACCATAGGCATCAAGCCTTGTATCATTACTGTTGATAGAATAAACCACATTTTGAACGTACTTTCACTGTTTGTCTTTATCTAGTTCTAGCCCCTTTCTAGAGTAGTGTTTATAGCTAGTAGAGCCGACATAGACCTTTTAGAAAACAGTAGCACCATCAGATCGTCAACTGTCTTCTTTCCCTGAGGAAGAAAAAAGCAAAAAAAAAAAATAATAAAATAAAAATGTGAAAAAAATGCAAATAACTTGAAAATTATGCTTTACTCCAAAGTGGACAGAATATATCTCAGGCGACCTGTCTGCCTTGTAGACGGCTCAGCGCTATTTCTGTACCTCTTTACGTGTGTGTGTGTGAGTGTGCGTGTGCGTGTGAGTGTGCGTGTGCGTGTGTGTACAGTATACCCCTTCCATAGCCAGGGCCACAGTGGGGTACAGGCAACACCGTCTAGTCAAGGTGGAGATCCCAATCTTGAGCAACTGGAGTCTCTAGCCGGCCCAGTACACTATCAAAGTCTATTTCTCAATTCGATTGTCTGGTGAGCGGCACAGCAAGCTTGGCACCGGCTCCCAGTGACCAATAACGGGTCTATAGCATACCTCTTTGTAGTGAGAATGTTTTACATGTCCCTGATGGGGGCCTTTTTTTAATACTGATTCAGTCATGGAGATCTCATTGTTTTAACTCCCAAGTGTGGGTTATAGTCATTTAATGCCATTAGATTTTCAACTAATTTGGGGCATCCAAACCTTTTTGTGTCTTTAAGTTTTCAATTGCAAATCACAATTGACAACTCATATTGAATGCCTTCATGACAAGGTGTCTGATTAAGTTCTTTTTCTCTTTCCTCTCAAATGTTCTAGATCTAGTTTGGTCGCTGGGAGCTCTCCCTGATGGTATGTATTTCTTTTTGTTACTATACTTGCCAGCCAGGAGTCCACTACGCGAGGAAGCTTTCTCTCTTTTTGTTTTTTTTCCTGCACCACACTCTTCCTAACACAGGCACCCACTTATGCCGCCATCTTTCAAAAAAAAAAAAAAATACCTGTACAAAAACCAAAAACATCAAAATAGATTCTTTGTAAATAGCTGTTAAATAGTACCTAGAGGTATCCATACCAGAGAGATTGAGAGAGAGAGAGAAAGCAAAAGGTGAGAAGCACCTCACTTCCTTTGCCTCTCTCGCCTCTTTCTCTTCACCCTCTTTATCCCTATAAAATGCTCCTCGTGTAGTGTAGCCTCCTGGAGCCTCCACACTCGAGCCTGACCCGAAATGCGCCTCAAAAATAAATTAAAAAAAGACTCAATGTCTCTAGCTGGCCATCACAGTTATGGAAATGTACGTTTCAGTCTACCCTCGTTTTCTGTTTGATTTGTTCAGATACGGAGAAAACGAAAGTCATCGAAATTGTAAATGTGTAACCAAAAGAAACTAAATCGGTATTTGGACTAACCTTTTAGAAGTATTTTATATCTGCAATCACAGGGAAGGTTTGTCACTGCTCTCTAGCTGTGTGTGTTTAGGTAGTTAAGGTTTTGGTAGGTCTCTGCAGGTGTCCATAGGTCGCAACAGGTGTCCATGGATCGCTACAGGTGTTCGTGGGTCGCTACAGGTGTTCGCGGGTCGCTGCAGGTGTCCATGGGTCGCTTCAGGTGTTCGTGGGTCGCTACAGGTGTTCGCGGGTCGCTGCAGGTGTCTATGGGTCGCTTCAGGTGTTCGTGGGTCGCTATAGTTGTCCATGGGTCGCTACAGATGTCCATGGGTCGCTACAGGTGTCCATGGGTCGCTACAGGTGTCGGTGGATCATTGAAAAGGTATCGATTGGTCACTATACAAATGATTAATGCTGCATTGAGATCACTGTTGGGATCATTGATTATTTCGGGGCACCTGTTTGCATTCTAAACACACACACACACACACACACACACACACACACACACACACACACACACACACACACACACACACACACACACACACACAGGAAGGAGTATATCGTGTTTTACTACACACATACGAAACGAGTGTTTGAAGTCTGCCCATCCATGTACCTAGAGGTAGGTACATGTACATACACACACACACACACAGAAAATACACATTTCAGGAACACTTCAAGAGGAACATATTCTTATGCAGACAAATCCAGTGATGCATTTAACTAAGATTTACGTTTGTGCATCATGTGACAAACAACATTAAAATGGATTTAGTGCGAATATATCAGATAAACAGGTTTATTCGTGAATAATAATTCCAAGGCATGATACAATAAGCTGTATAATAATACACTCCACAACTCCTTCATTCTTAAATACATTATTTACATGTAAACTGAATGTAAATACACGAGTACAGTTGGATATAACTTTGTGAACTTTGTAAACTTTGTTTCAACTATTGCTATCTAAATACAGTGATTGTGGAAGTATACTCAAGTTACAAATGGAAAAACTTGGAATACCAAGAGGAAGAAAGTATTATAATTATGTAAGTATTGTGTATAATGCAGTTTTTCCCCCCCTCCCCCTATTCAATAAGGCTGAAGCAAGGGGCCAGCAAGCAGCCATGGGCAGCTACCGAGATACACACACAAACAGGGTATTCTCTACAGGAAAATAATGTGTGGATGCAGTGACATCAGACACAACACGGTGATGTAAACACAGATTCAGTGTCGTCCATTGCATTGCAGGTGAAGGTACCTTTCATTGCAGTCTGTTGCAGGCGTCTTCAGTGTGTTTTCAGGGTTTTTTAAGTTGGGACAGGTTCTGTTGAGTGTACACACAGATACAGACACGCATGCGCGCACACACACACACACAGATGTATACACACACACACAATGTACACACATACACACACATGTACACGCATACACACACACATGTACACACACACACACACACGTACACACACACACACACACACACACACACACACACACACACACACACACACACACACACACACACACACACACACACACGATGGCACAATCTACTCAGGTATTATCATGCAGATTCCCCCATTATTGCAGTCAACTGCGACGCTAAACTTCACTTCCCTTGTTCACTTCTTCCGAGCAAGATCATGTTCCCTAGGTGAAGTGAGGTTCCCTAGGCCAGGTGAAAGTTCCTAGGCGAGTTGACGACCCATTTTGGATGTGCTGCAGTGATGTGGACGACCTGAGAGTGCCTCGACCCCAGTGCCGCTTTTGTGGCACTTCCATGTAAGAGAGAGAGAGGGAGGCTCGACTTGATGGCTCTTCTTAATACAAAAAAACTAACTTTGCAACACATTTACAGTGGCATATTTACTGATGGTCAGCTTGATGGCATTTGACATCTGATTAGTTAAAGAATCAGTAAATAAATCAAATTACAGGTAAAGCGTGTTGTAATGTATATATCTAAATCATAATGAGGAAGAGGATGAATAATTTAAGAGACAAAAATCGTCGGGTCAGGTTGGAAGGAGGCGTGGTTTCTTCTGTTTGTCCCAACAGATACCTCAGGCATCAGCATGAAACACTTCGTGGTCTCCTAAAGTAACACTCTGGAGCACTGCTCTTTATATCTTATCATTGATTTCACTATCCTTAATCAGGGAAAGTAATCTTGAAAGTTGTTATCAGTAGTTTGTGATTTTTTTTTTCCGCACGTAACTTTAGCAGCGTCATTGTAGGGCTTGTTAGAAAACGGAGCATCAGGCTGCTGCCCGGGGTATTTATTAGATTTTTTAAGCTTTTATATGCTAATCCAGATTAGAAAACATTTTTCGAGTAAATGCAATACTGAGCTAATACAATCTTGATTAGGAGTGTTACTGCATGACCAGCACCATGGCTATTTGTCTAGTAAGAGTAGTTCCAAAGCTACTTGCCTTAGTCTAAAAAAAAATCTGTTCACTTCTTTTTATAATTAAAGTAGATCGAAGTTCAGACAGCCAAATGACCAGCAGATTCACCATAATGACCACCACTAGAGCACTATTGTCACCAATGAACATTAAAAGTTAGACATAAGGATCAGTAAAGATGGAGTTTTCTTACCCAAAAACAAATTCTAATCTGAACTTTCCTCCCGTTTTCTTTGCAGGTATCCAGGCTGCCGCGTACGCCGCCTACGCAGGGCGTGGCTATGCTAGTTACCCAAGCTTTGGTTTTCCATACCCTGCAGGTAATTTAAACACGGGTCTTGCCGCGCTCTGTGTCCCACACCCGGTCGATGTGGGCCTCTATAACCTGCATGCCTTGCAGTTGTAACTCGCTCTGCAGCTGGGGATGGCTTCAACCCTCAATTGTTCTCCTTTATTTTTAACTTTCAAAACCCCCCCCCAAAAAAGCAAAGCAAGCTCCAGTGAGCTTTTTTAATTTTTTTGGCCCCCCCCCCGTTTCTCACGGGAGCATTGGATCCACTAAGACTTCTACTGGATCTTTTTACTGCATTTGAGAATTGATTTTTCAAAATATTGTCGTCCAATTTTTTTTTGGACGGAGTTTTCTTTACAATTTTTGGATGCCGTCACCCAATTGTTGAGTTCACGAGCATAGGATCTATATTGACAAAGTTTTGAAAAAAAAAAAAAAAATATTTACTAAACCATAGCAACTCTGAAATATTTTCTAATAGCCACGATAACATTATAAAAAAAAAAACACGTCGTGGAAAGACGAATTATTTACACAACCATATTTTGGCTTTGATGCATGTCACCTCCCCCCCCCCCTCCCCCCCTCCTCTCCCACCTCCTTAGAGCATTTTGTTGCCAGCTGTGTAACTAACTAATGAGCAGTTGTGTAAGCGAGAGTACACTCTCTCTGCCGTAGGGTTTGGTAGGATTAGTTGGTTTTCCTTCGGCAAGTTTGTTGTAGGCCAATATATATATATATATCTATATATATCTATATATATATATATATATATATATTTCTTGTTGCCTCATCGTAGCTAACCGTACATTGCAACATGCGATAGCAGTAAGTAATGAGTTTGTTGTTGTGGTTTATTTTTTTGTTTTGTTTCGCCTTAAAATGTTAATATTAACCCTTTCGGCGATATGGGGACGGATGTGGATCAACCAAGGCAATCAGTGGAATAACTTTTCAATGATTAAAATGTTTGTGTTCTTATCTTAGTCATTGAAAAGCTAGCCAGGACTTGCCACTTGCCGCTCACTGAATCACTCTGGATTATGCATTTGTTCGTTTGTTGGATTTTTTTCATAAAAAGGGGCTTCTGAGTTGTTCACTTAAATAAAAAAAAAAAAAGGCCAAATAAGATACTAAAAGAATGGCTTATTTTGAGCCATAGTTCAATAAGCTTGTTTTGGACCTTAAAATTCGCCATATCGTCGTTGGTGTGTTGACGGGAGTACTTACCTATCAGTACTTACCTATGTGTAGGTAGTTGTAGCAGCAAGATAGCTTACGGAGTGTGACCGGGTAGTTACCCAGGAGTGGCCTATTGTGACTTTTCATCTCAAGGTTTATGCAAAAGCAAAAAAAAACGTAGCTTTGGTTTTGTTTTAAGCAGTAAAGTACTTTTTCTCTCCTGTCACTTGTCAACTCTGTTCTCTTCACGATAAATGTAGCTGTTTTTTTTTGGCAAGTTTTAATATCTTATGATAATGTATTGTTATATCCAAATAATTTAATGATATATGAAGTTAAGAGGTATAGGGCAAGATTTTGATTTTCTCTTGTTTCTTTTCCCAGGAATTGTTGGAATTTTGCCTGATGGCAAGTTTCCTTTGGGAGAATATATCGGTTTGAATCCTGCTTTAAACCTGGTTGGGCACACCTGAACAACCATCCAAACTCGTGGCAGCTTGAGCCGAAACTCATATGCCTTGTATATAACCCTATGGACCTTATTGTGCATCCTGTGGCGCCCCTCTCATCTCCTGCCATTCAGTATGGGCAACATGAGGATTGAAATGATCTCTTCTGTGATTCTTGTTAGCATTTAAAGACATGATAATGCCTAAAAAAAATAAACAGAATTCCCCCCCCCCCTTTCCCATGGAAAAAAAAATATGGATTGTCATAACGATCAAAGTTTATACACACTGATGAAGATGCTACCTGTCTTATGGAACAGACAGGACATTCGTTGCCTGTCCTGTGAAGTAGACCTGTTCCGGGCACTCGGCTCCATACTTAGGGGACACTTCCTATCCAATCTTGTTGCTGCAACTTCATTTATACTATATATATTATATATACATATCTCTACATATATATGTATATATATATATATTCATATAGGTGTTTGGAACGGCCTTGTCTAACACAGCGTAGTTCCCAAGGACGAGCTTAGGTATTCCAAAGGTTTTGATCCTTTTGTACTTTTTGTCGTCTTGAATTCTTTTTTGGGGGGGTGGGGGGGAAATGGGGTGGATTTTTTGGTTTAAGACGACTAATTAACTTGTCACCTTTTTTTTTTTTTTAAGACTGCGTTTAGATTTATAGAGAGGAGGCGACGGTTGTCATACCGAAGGATGTTTTGACTTTTGAGCATGACTGATACCATCCTTAATGTTGAAGATCCATCCACTCACTCTTGTGTGTCGCAGACTTGGTGCTGCGACTCTTTTTAAGTCAATTAATAATAGCTATATGAAGGAGCGGGAGCAGATTATCTTAAGAACACTCGAGCTAAACCATTTTCTAAACTCATTTGCCAAGATTATTTTTTAAGTGCGTCGATTGATGGATAAAATGTGTTATATATATGCACTCGTAACAAACGTTCATACGTACGTGTGTGTGTGTGTGTGTGTGTGTGTGTGTGTGTGTGTGTGTGTGTGTGTGTTTGTTTTATTGTACAGTATATATTTCTGAGATTAGAGATGGTGAATCTCAAGTGTTCATTGTAATTTAATTTTTGCGATCGTATGAAATGAGACTTCTGGAATGTTAATGATAGGAGAATGAAGTAAGGATAGAATTCAACTGATTTTGTTTTTACAAGTTATAAGCTGATTTGTTGAGTAATTATCTCCTTTGTTTACGAATTGTCAGTTAGTTTGTTTGGTGAATGATCACCTTTTTCTTCTTTTACTGTGGATCATTTGGATTACAACCATGTTTCGTTGAAGAAAGATTAGTTGCGTTTAGTTCACAGGTTAACTTGACCAGACCACACACTAGAAATTGAAGGGACGACGACGTTTCGGTCCGTCCTGGACCATTCTCAAGTCGATTGTCGACTTGAGAATGGTCCAGGACGGACCGAAACGGCGTCGTCCCTTCAATTTCTAGTGTGTGGTCTGGTCAACATACTTCAGCCACGTTATTGTGACTCATCGCCTGCACAGGTTATCTTGTTTATACAGACGAGAAGTCAAAATAACTTGGTTTTTAATCAGCTGTGTTTCGCTGATAAGCAGTTTACTTCTTATTTGACTATTGATTAGGCAAGTATTGTTGACTGACAATCGACTGATATTTTGTTGAGCTGTCAACTTATTTTGGTTTACAAGCAATCAGCTGATTTAACTTCGTATTTGGCCAGCTAGGTCGCCAATGGCGATATTTCCCTACTCACTCTTACTAGTATATTTAAACTAACATTCCAGAATTCCATCGTTAAATAACTTAATTTACCAAACAAGTCTCATAATCCAGATGGTGACTTTTCCCAAAAATGTATGGATAGAAATTCATGTTTGAATCGCACTGACGTTAATTGAGAGTGTCTCACGAAGCTAACCAAAGAGTTTTAGAGGAAGCAAATAACTGAAGACCAAGTGTTTATAACCACCACTCGAACACTTCGATCTTAACTCCCTCTCACAAGTTGCCATTCTGGGATATGAGTCGCTGCGTTGGATGACACTTTCCTCACTTCATTGCCACTGGGCAAACGTGCTGAATACAAAAAAAAAAAATCGACTCCGGCCACGCGATTTTAAACCTTGTTCATTCGTCGTAAAATTAAAAACCATTTAGTTTAATCTCCCACTCTCCTGCGGCGGGATCAGGATATGCAAATCGGATGCAAAGTCGAAGACACAACGAAGCTGTACATTAGAGGTTTAAAATCGATGGTTAAACTTGCAGCACGGAGTCCCCAGTCTCCACAGTTTCCTTATTTCTGTGATGATAAATTATTAGATCGATTGGAGTGCCTTGATTTAAATTACGGCTGGGCAAAGTGTGTGGGACACTTAATGCGTTACACATACACTGAATACGCAAGCAATACACTAGGAACACACTGCATACACCAGGGATACGCCGAATTCGATACACTTAATATGTTATGGACACAGTAATCTAGAAATACAGTAAGCTTAGTCTTAATACTGTTGGAATATACATAATACGATTGGAATACACTTAAAACGGTTGGGATACACTTAGAACACTTAGGATACATCAAAGGTAAACACACTGAACACACACAGAAGGACACAGACCACAACAGGACGGAGGGAGGGAATCCAGATGCCGCAACTTCCTTACAAGGAAGGACTGTATACCTCTGTGGGCCTCTGGTGCTGTGACATACATGGAGGCATAGTCTGGACGGCACAGACATGGAGCCATAGTCTGGACGGCACAGACCTGGAGGCATAGTCTCGAGGCACAGACATGGAGATATAGTCTGGAGGTACAGCCATGGAGGTACAGATCTGGAGGTACAGTCATGGAAGTACAGACATGGAGGTATAGTCTGGAGGTACAGCCATGGAGTACAGACCTGGAGGTACAGCCATGGAGGTACAGACATGGAAGTATAGGCTCTGTTTCCCCTGGTCTCCATCCCTGCCCAGTGACCCTCCTGCACACATCTTCGTCTCGTTTACATCAGAGAGACTTCGAGGACACGAATCCCGAAACCTCACCGTTCTAGTACAACGTCCTTGACCTGCCCTGAACAGCATTCATCGAACATTTACGCAAACAATTAACAAACCTCAATCCTAGTGGCTTTGTTTACACTTATTAAACAGTTTAGTGAACTCCGAAGCACTACTTAGCTTCTTAATAGCAATAATTACCTCGAGTTTGTCAATTTTCCAAGCTCTTGAACTGTTTAATAAATGTACACACAGCCACCATGATTGAGGACAGACGTTCAAGTTTTCGTAGCAGACGTAATCAAGTTTGATTACATAAATGCTCTATGAATCCTGATCCGGGGAATCGGTATTCATCCTAAATGTTTCTATTTTGCAACAAGCGTGCTAGTTCCCAAGTTTAGGAAAATGGTTGATGCACCAATCATTCCACTTCGTTCTTGTTTGTACAAGTACAGGCCGCAGCGTCGCCGGCGGACTATCAGCCGGCAAGGGATTTTCTAGTGAGATTGTAATGGCTGGCTTTGTTAGTCGTCGATTATTTTCGTTTATTGTGATCAGTGTTTTTTTGTGTTTTTGTTTTAATTAGCAGTTAGTGTTTTATTTATATGTGTGTTTGCTATATTTAATTTTAATTAATTCTTGCAATGCAAGCCCCCTCCCTCATATAGCTTAAAAAAAAAGAATGTTAATTAAAAAAAAAAAAACACATCTCTATACGAGAGAATAATTAGAGTTTTAGATACTTTTTTGTTGAATGATTTCCTCCCCCCTCCTCTTCTAACCTGTATCTCTTAATGGTAGAATAAGACGTTTTCTCCTCCTAACTCCTAGTGTAGGTACCTGGTCTTGCAAGAAGGCCCTCAGTGTAGATGTAGTTACCGTAGGTTACTTCACATCTAAATGTTTTGGTTGTAAAAATAAAAAAAAACTTACATTAATAATAACTTTTAATTGTGGTAATGTAATAATTTTTTATATTGTTTTGGCACGGGGATGGGCGCATGGCCAAGATATATCTAGACCTGAGGGGTTACTAGAGCTAATCTAGTCAGTAACTGGTTGTTCTAGATTTATGTCCAGATATATACGGTCATTCTAGCAGCAGTTTACTAGGCCACTAAAACCAGATTTTATACCGATGTCTGACTTTGGGCATTCGGTTCGTAGTCTATTTAGAAGACAAGTAGCTTTGGGGCCAGTCATTGGCTACGATTCTCACTACTGTAGGCCTAGTACTGTACAGTTGCGTCTACCCTCTCTCGTGTTCTCTTATCTTGTCATACCTACCAGGTAGCGAAGGTAAAGAGCTCAGAGTATCACCTACACCTTTAGACAAATATTTTAACTCTGGACACGCTCCGTGAACGCCACTGACGATTAGTTAAATCAAAGAAATTTAAGCATAGTTTCATGACTTAACAAGTAAAAATTTGTACAAAAACTTGTAAATTTTCATCGTAGATCCTTTATAAAGCACAAACGATTGCTTAAAAAAAAATTGTATGTTGACTCTATGCTGTTTACCTAAAAAAGACTACGAAGAACAGGAGACCAGGGTGGAATACAAAACAGTGCCAATTCCGTCACTTTTTTAACTATGCAAACTGCGATAACTTCCATAAGTATTCATTTCGTGGTCTAGTCTGGGAACACGTGTGGTTCCCCGCTGTAATTATCTCTTAAGGTATTATCATTTTATTGTTGATTTTAATATTGATTTTACGGGACTCTGTAGCTCCTGCAAAAAAAAAAAAAATTCAGGGAAAGGTTGTTATTTTGGAGTTCAGAACAGTAGCAAATAACGATTGAAAAATATATATACATAATATATACACTTGGTTAGAAAGATTTAAAAAAAAAATGAAGTTTTGGCTATATATTACGGCTGAAATATTAACTTTATTTTCTGATCCTAATGCGTGCATGATTATACTGTACTCACCAAGTTAGTATTGTATACTGTATTTCTCCTACATACTAAGATTTATTAAGGTGAGATTCTAATGGACAGTGATGTATTAGATATTAGAGGAAAGCTTATATGATGCCTTTATGGGATGGGAGATCTTCTGGTGCACCTTTCTAGTAGCACAAATGTCAAACCTTGTTCGTCTTTGGTTCTACACAAAAAAAATGTATTTTAAAATTTGATATTGTTGTTCTTCCTTAAGCCTAAAATGAACCTTACTATTTCTTGATTAAACACGAATTAACCTTGTAAAAGTATTAACCTTTTCTACTTGTAAAAGTAAAACAGAACGTTTTGCTTGGGAAACCTTTATCTTCCTTGGTTTAGCACTGAAAAACCTCGGTCTTCTTTGGTTTAGCACTGAAAAACCTCACTGATCTTTGGTTTAGCACTGAAAAACCTCACTGATCTTTGGTTTAGCACTGAAAAACCTCACTGATCTTTGGTTTAGCACTGAAAAACCTCACTGATCTTTGGTTTAGCACTGAAAAACCTCACTGATCTTTGGTTTAGCACTGAAAAACCTCACTGATCTTTGATTTAGCACTCAAAAACCCTCCGTTTTCTTAAGTGGAACAAAGAACTATTAACATTGGTGTTGGTCCTGCATTTAGTCAGAGCCAAAAAAGCGCTGTCCATCTTCGACTAAACATTTCCTAGCGAGAAAGTAGTGAGGGCTATACAATGGGATCGAACCCGCGTCCTTGGACTACTCAGGCACGCAAACTACCGATTGAACCAGGGATGCAGGTTTGATCTCTTTCTACAGATGATTTTCCAT